CACCTGCTCTTGGACTTGGAGCCTCCGGAGCTGTCCAGGAAATACAGTTCTGTTGTTTAAGAGGCCAAACCTGTGGTATTTGTGACGGCAGCCCTAACACGCCAAAATACCAGCCCGCAGACCGGAAGGAAGCCTGCAGATCCCAGCAGAGCCTCGGCCAACCCCCAGCACAGGTCCACGAGAGAGGAAAAGAAATACCCAAAGTTGTAAACCGCCCGGCTTTGGGGTCCTTTGTTACACAACATTATTGTAGGGGAGAGATTGACTTAGTACCACATCTAATTTTTCCCTGGGCCAATTTTGAAATTTTCCTTTGTTTCTCACCACGTGATTCCTTAGCAATTTGTTAATCTAAACGAATTCTGCTGTCTGAGCATTTCAGCAATTCCAGTTACATCGAAACTGCTCCTGCCTCTGGAAAAGCATCAGGGTCGAAACCTACTACGGAACATTTTCATAGTTCCCACTTCATTGGCTTCCAGCTGGCTGTCCTGCCAACAGGCTGGGGGACCTGGGGGTTGAGGCTCCTGCATGTTTCGTGCTCAGGTCCCCAGCATCTCTGGTGCTAAGATGGTGACTAGCAAATGAATCCTTCATGCCAGAGAGAGCCTGGGACCAAGGCAGCTGCCCCTCCCAGATAAAACTTAAATAGATCTTCAAGGTCCCCAAACTCTGGCCCCAACTACTGCCCCAGCTCCATTTCCCCCTGCTTTCTCCAGACTTGTCCCTTCAGCAGAGGCAACAGAGGCTCCAAGGACCCGAATGAGTCTCCTCATTTCCCTCTCCCCCTTTCCATCTATACATTCTCCTCTGGCAGCCCTTTGGCTCCCTTTATTCCACCTATCATACCATGGTCCTTACTACCACAGGGCCTTTGCACATGTTTTTTTCTGGCTCAAATGCTGTTTCACGGCCCTTTTTACCTAGTTTACACCCGGTCATTCTTCATACCTCAAGTCAGAGGACACTTCCTCAGGGAAGCCCTTTCTGGCTGCTGTAGGTTAAGTTAGTCCCTCACCCTCTTTGTTCAGTCCAAGTACCATGTACCTCCCTTTCTTAGCACTCACTTGTGCTATAATTTATTAGGGCAGCCTTCAAATTAATGTCTGACTCCCCATTCCAGACTTTCAGGTTCACGAGGACTAGAATGAGGTCTCATTCACTCTGTCCCCAAAGCCTGGTACATAGTGGACGCACTGTAAATATTTGTTGATAGAACGAGTACAGGATGGGGCAAAAGTGCAATAGGGTCAGCTATGGCCGGGGTGGCGCAGTTGGTTGGTGCATCATCCCATAACCAAAAGTTTGCTGGTTTGATTCTGGTCAGGGCACATGCTTAGATTGCAGGTTCAGTCCCCAGTCTGGGCGCATAGGACACCTGGTCCAGGTGCGGACAATCCCCACTCCGGGCACATACAGGAGACAACCAATCAGTGCTTCTCTCTTGCGTCGATGTTTCTCTCTCTCCCTTTCTCTCTAAAGAAGCAATGGGGAAAATGTCCTCGGGTAAGAATGAAAAAATAAAAATAAGTTTATAGTTGTGAGTACATGAAGCAGAGTTTTCCCCATACATTATTTATTAACTATCGTGTTATTTTTCCATACAAACAATTGTAAACCTCCTTTTGGCCCACCCTGTATTGTATTGTTGTCCCACCTGCTCTGCTAAACCCCCCTCCACTGACATGTAAGGTGTCTGAGGGCGTGTGCAGCTCAGATTTCTTTCCAAGAGACCCTGCCGTGGTCCCGCTGTAGCCTTCAGGCCAAGGCCATGGTCTCCTGGGCTGCTCCCAGCCAAGGGCAGACTGAGCACAGTGGAGTCCTAAGGATGGGTCAGTTTTGTCCAACACAAGACTCCTAGTACTGGGCCTTTTTTTTTTTTTTTTGCTCTGGGGCTTCCCATTGGCCTGGCCAAGCCTTCCTCAAAGTTGACTGTTCCAGCTATCTAGTTATTGTCTTTCATCTCCAAGTTCACACTTCAGTGCCTGCTCTGAAGTAATGAACTGGAATGGACTCCTGGGATGGAATGGAGTCCATTCCAGTTCATTACAGCATTGCCTCCTGTACAGTGAGATGCTAAACTTCACCAGCAGAGGGCGCTGGAGGGGCCATTCCAGAAGGAAAGGAGACTTCGCTTTCTGATTCTGGTGGGGTGTGTGTGTTTTCTGGCTGCTGCTGCTGCGTGGTTGGTCGGCAATGTGTAAGGACATCTGGTGGTCATCTGCTGCAGCCATGAACACAGTTTATCAACAACGTTGCAGCCCCGAGACCAGGGGATCGTCTTCTTGCCACTCTCTTAATGCAGGTAAATATCACACTCTCTGGGCCTCACGTCTGCAGAGGTGCCCTGATGCCCCCACCCACCATCCTCATCTCCCTCGGGCCTCTGAGGACTTCTGACCTTGCTTTCCCAGCGACCGTGGAGGAGCTGTGGTCTCGCCAAGCCAGCAGAATTCTCTGCCACCCGGTGGGCTTCAATCACACCTTCACCAGTGAGGTCTGAACCCCAGCTTGGGGAAGGCATCCCCCTTCCAAATGTGTTCTTCCTTGGGCGAGCTCCCTACGATACTCTTTAAAGTTATCTTTATACCTTTATAGTTACTCTCTTGCGTGAGCTTAGTAATTCTTTCTATTAAATAGCCCCTGTTACATTGCTGTCTTCTAGTCGGACACAGACAGATTCGGTGCACAGCAGCCCGAGGCTTTTCGCACCCAGCCCTCCTCCCTCCCCTGTGCCCTTCCGCAGCTGCCAGGTGCGCGTCCCAGTCTGACAGGGTCTCCCCACCTCCTCCTGCTCCCCATCTCCTTTACTCTCCGTAGGTGTGACCCACAACACATCTCCGACACCGTTCATTCTTTCTTGGCATTTGCTTCGCAGAGGACGAGACTGGCTCACTTCCTGTCACACTTAGAATACGATCCCAGGAGGCTTTATATAATCTGCTTTCTGTCTCAAGTCCAACACCCCCACCCCCCCCCCTCCCGCCCCAGCCCAGCACAGGCCTTCCTGCTGCCCCGTAAATCCTACTCCAGCGCCTGTGGGTGGCCTCCTTGAAGTTCTAATCCACATACAAACCAGAATCCCACCTCAGGGGCTTTGCACTCGTTGCTCGTTTTGCTACCAGGCTGGTTTCTTCATTTCATTCAGACATCTTCTCAAATGCCACCGCGTAATGAGGCAGGGTGGTAAAAGCTAGGAAAGTTCCTGAGCAAGTGGAATGGGGCAACGTAGGCAGGAACATTAGACAAGGCCGAACAGTGTGAGCAACTTACAGCCAGCTGGTGAATCTCGAGAGCTTGTATCTCCCCTGACCAAGGACATTTGAGAGAGAATGGCATGTACCTCTCCTCCCTAACTAGACAATACAGAGCTTGAATCTCCCTAGTGTGGGAGACAGAGGACAGAGAGCCAATTAATGCTACTTGTGCCAGCTAAGCCCAAGGACAGATGAAGTCAGGGGACAAATAACAAAAACTCCATTAAAAGCCAGACAAACCCAAGATAAGAGTAAAACAGTACAGCAGACCAGAGAATATTTCCACACACCCCTCACCCACCCAATGCACTGGAACGCTGATGACTATTCTGCTGAAACCTCCCTTAAGATGGTTGCCCACAGGGAAAAAAGGGCGAGAAGCCCCCAGGACACAGACTGCTGTGGGCTGCTCCTTCTCCAGCAGGAACTTTATTTTTCTTTAAGGTAGATTTAAAAAATATTTTATTTATTTACTTATTTATTTTTACAGAGAAGGGAAGGGAAGGAGAGAGAGAGGGAGAGAAATAGCAGTGTATGGTCGCCTCTCACATGGCCCCCACTGGGGACCCGGCCCGCAACCCAGGCATGTGCCTGGACTGAGAATCCAACCACGACCCTTTGGTTCACAGCCCGTGCTCCATCCACTGAGCCACACCAGCCAGGGCGGGTAGGAACTTTATTTCGTCCCAAACTCTAAGGGTCCCCAGGAGACTTGCAGCCAGGGGAGCAGTGGACAGTGACGCTTGACCTGGGTTTACCCCCGATCCTGTCTCCAGGGCCCCCTTATTCTCTGACTCTCCAGCGAGCTCACAGCAGCCCTGCCGCCCCTCACTCCTTTCCTACCACGTTTCTAGGGAGCCAAAGGAGAGCACGGCCTGGGCCCAGGGGCGTCAAACTCATTGTCACCAGGGGCCACATCAGCCTCGTGGGTGCCTTCCAAGGGCCGTAATAATTGTAGGACTGTATACATGTGACTACTCCTCAACGGTTAAGGAGTTGAAATTACAGCCAGCCCTTGGAAGGCACCGCAAAGCTGATGTGGCCCCTGGCCTAGGCTGTCTCCTGTTATTTCTTCTACCCTAAATCCTCCCTTGTTTCACTGTCCCCAGCCTTAGTGAACACACGCTCAAAATCTCCTGGACTCGTGTTGTGAAATCTCTCCTACACGAAGTCCAGAACCCGTGTGCTGCAGCCTGGCTGAGGCGCCGCTCCAGGCGGCGCCTGTGCGGCAGCACTGAGGGGCCGTCCCCCACCTCCCCGCCAATTACCCTGTAACTCTGTCCCTTTATCCTGCTTTGTTTGTGTCTTCATAGCACTTATTACCGTGTCACATACTATGTATTATACTTACCCACCTTTTGTGCCCCCTGTAAAGACGAGTCTCCTCCATGAGGCCGGAGACCGTCTGCCTTGTTCACCACTGCATCCCCACGGTCTGGATTAGCACCCGGCACACAGTAGATGCTCAGTAAGTATTTGTTAATTGACCGAGTGAAAGAGTGTCCTTGCCTTTACTCGAGCCATTTCTTCCCTTCACCTGGAACGCTTGCCCTTCTTCCCCGCCTCTCCTGATCCCAGTTATCCTGTAAGACTTGGTGCTCGCTGCCACTCCTCCAGGAAGCCCTCCCGGATAAGCTGGGCGTTGAGCCCCTGGAAAGTGGCTTGTTCTTCCCCTTCACCTACTATACTGCCTAATTTTAGGTGTAATGTAGGCTTTATAGCAGACAAAGACTGAGGTGGAGATTAAAGGCAGAAGAGAACAGGCCAGCTTTATTGGAGTGAAGGACACGGGTCGGGGTGCTCCGTGGGTTGTGGGCCCGCGTGCGGCGGCCAGGGGAGCGGCCTAGGGCGTTACTTCTTCCACTCCTTCTTCTCGTAGTCCCACCGGGAGGCCAGGCCTTGCACAGGGTTGCCCTTCATATCCAGGATGCGCTGGAGCTGCTGGGCCTTCCACTCATCCGTCAGGGTGACGGGCTTCTCGGGGAACACTGCGGGGAAGGCAGGGGCACGGACGGTGGCAGCTCAGGACCCTACCAGGCCCGCCCGAGCCAAGGCCCCCAGTGACAGAGTTAGGGTACGCCGTGCAGAGGAGCCCCCGCCACCCTGCCCGTCCCGCCCCCCAAACTCCCTAAAGCTTCACTCCCTGGACTTCCGTGTTCTGATTCCCGCTCTGCCTCACATTCACTGTGGGAGCTGGGCCGTAGCCCTTCCTCTTCTGAGCCTCAGCTTCCTCGTCTACTGTGCGTCCCAGTGGTAATAGGAGCATGGGTTTGAAGTCTGTCTGGGTCCAAACTCCAGATCCACCACTCCCCTGCTGTGTGACCTTGAAAAAGTCACTGTATCTCTCGAAGCCTCAGTTTCCCCACCTGTCAAAACCAGGCCCTATCCAACTAGGGCTGTGGGGCTTGGATGAGTTAGTATTGATAAGACAGTTTGCACAGTGTAGGTTGGATATTAAGCCCCTAATACATGGTAGCTACGATAATTATAACCCCTGAGTGTCCTCCCAGGTATTGGGAGCAGTCCAGAAGGAGATGGTTTCTTTTACTTCCTGAAGGGGGTTGGGAGTAGAGGGTAGGGTAGGGGTGTTCAGTTTAAAAATCTGGGGAGGACAATACTTAACCCGAAGGCTGAAGCACTCATGGGGGCATCTCGGGTGCGTTCACGCATGGAGCGGGAAGGCCAGAGGGCCACAGCACTCACGTCTTGCTCCCTGGTCCATCTGCCCCTGAGGCTGACTCATCCCGCCTGAACCCCGTGGCTGGTACCTGCTATCCCAGTGGGTGGGCAGGAAAGGAAAGCTCTTCAGGGGCACCTACGAGCACCAAACCACCAAACGTGGGGCCAGACAGGAATTTGTCCCAAAGCCTTTCTCCTTTTATCCTTATGCAAGGCAGGAACCCGTCACACTTTCACAGAAGAAGAAACAAAGGCAGGCCAGGGGACAGGCCACCAGAGGTGCTGCGGTTGAGTCCGGGGCCCAGCCCTCCCTCCACGTCCTCTCCCTTCCTCCAGAGCAGCGCTTCCCAGGCCTGAGTGGGCACCAGAGCACCCCGGAGGCTGTTAAAACGCTGCCGGCCCGCAGCGCCTGACCCGGTAGCTCCAGAGTGGGCCGAGACCTTGCACAAGTTCCCAAGTGACGCTTCTGGGCCAGGAATCACACTTGGAGAACCACCCTTCTTAGTAAGAAATAATCGGCTCACCCTTCTTTAGCAGCGATTTTCAGCCTTTTTCGTCTCATGGCACACATACGCTAATCACTAAAACTGCAGCACACCAAAAAATATATTTATGGCTGACCTGACCAAAACAAAAATAGGTTCAATTCTGATTCATTCGCACCAGACGGCTATTGGCATGTTGGTTATTGCTACTGTTTTCATTTGACAATTTAAGGGAATTGGGTTTTGCATGTTCCTGTGGCACATCGGTGTACCTCTTGTGGGACACCTGTCGAAAATCAATGTTCTGTAGTAATAAATGGTCAGCTGGGTATGTGACAGCCCAGTTAAAGACTACACTTCCCAGCTTTCCTTGTGGATACACACGACCATATGATCACGTCTGACCAATAGAATGTGAGCAGAAGTGGTGCAACTTCAGAACCTCAAAGAGCAGAACCTGCCTTCCGCTCTTCTTTGCGTGGATGTCGGCTCTACGGCTGGAGCCGGAGCCGCCACCTTGCTGGTCAGGAGGAAAGCTGCGTGTTACGGGTCAAGAAGACACAAGAAGCCTGACATTGTGGAGTCCCTGTACCCCCCTGGCCTATTTTTGTGGGAGAGCTTTATCTCGTTTAGGCCCTTGTATATTGTATATTGTGGACTCTTTGTTACAGCAGCTGAAACAATGTATTGAAACATTCATGCTTAGTAGCAGGGGCTGGGATGGGCCTACGTCTGGACGGCCCCCTGGGATTGATTCCTTCTCTCTCTCCTTTGGGTCCTTGGAGAGCCTTGAACACCTGTTGCCCTCGCCACATATCCTTAGTTACAGTAACCACGCCACTCATAACCATGTGCCAGGCACTGGCCTACAGCTCTTTTCGTTAAACCTTCATACGAGCCCTGAGACATGGGCGCTACCATCCCTGTTTCACAGATGAGGAAACTGAGTCCCAGAGAGGTAGCGTGCCTCTGCACCCACTCAGGCAGCTGTGCTCTGCCCGTCACCCTGCGTCTCTATGGGGAACTTTTCAAAACTCTTCGGCTGAGTGCCAGCACAGTTCCCTTAGAAGAGCTTGGCTGGAGGCTGCAGCCACAGGACGTGGCCAGGGCGGCAGCCATGTGAGATGTTGCCACTTACCATAGACCCGCTGCCACCAGATCAGCAGAGCTGTGAACCCGCAGAAGAAGAAGACACAGCCCAGCACAGTCTTCCACTCGTTGGAGCGGCGGTTCATCTCCGCGAAGGTCTCGTGGAACTGGAGCCTGTACACTGGAGGCGGGGTGGGGGGCGGGGACGGGGGCCACAGGTGCAGCTGTTTCAAGGACCCCAGGCCAACTCTTGGTCTGGGGGGTCCCCAGCCTCCCTCTCCCTGCAGCAGATGCCATCCATTCAGCTAAATCTTCTTGAGCATCGACTGTATGCAAAGCGTGGCAACAGAAGCTGGTAACAAAGCTCCAAATATTAAAATCAGCTCAGGGCACTTCTGGTGGGCAAAACTTGGGGTCACAGAGCCCCCCTGCTCCCCCACCCACAGCCCTGGCCTCACACCGCTCAGTGATGCCAGAACCCTCCATGCCCTGCTGCTCCCACCACCTAGCAGCACCCCCCTCCTCAAAGCTGGCTGGAAAGTGAATAAAAGAATGAACAAATGAATGAATTTCCCCTTGGGTATGCATTCACATGTTTGGGGGCTTCTGGCTGCTTTGGGTGGGGGCTCACGCTCCCCACTCCCCGCTGACGGGCCCTTCTTTGCAGAGCTACTCCCAGCCCAGCCTCCCCAGCCAGCCCCACTCTGAGACCTACAGGCCACCTTCTCGGCGTGGCTCAGCTGGGTCCAGCTGCCCTTCTCCTTCTCCTTCAGGGCCCGCTGCTCGGCGCTGAGCTCTGTGCAGAAGGGCTCATCAGGCATCGGGTAGGAGCGCTGGGCATGGTAGTTGGTGTAGGGGGGCATCTTCCCCTTGCTGTGGGCTGCGGGCACAAGGAAGGAGCTGAGGTCAGGCTGCCCCGGGGATGTTCCAGCACTAACCAGGATACTGATAGAGAGGGCTGCGTTTATTGAGCCCGCACTGTGTGCCAGGAGCCATTCCAAGGCCATCGGGTCAGTTGACTCATTTCCTCCACGTCACTCTGAGCCAGGTGCTGTTATCTCCATTTTACAGATGAAGAAACTGAGCAGCAAGTGACTTGCTGAAATTCACAGAACCAGAAGGACCAGGGCCAGGGCTGCAATTCGGCGGCCCTGGCTTCAACCCCCCCGTGTTCTCTGGGAAGGCCGCGGTGAAGAGAGCATGTGGGGCAGAGGCAAGGGGCAGGCAAAGGCTCAGTGAGAGGAACCCGAACTGACTGATGTGAAACTGCTCTGCAAACTATAAAACAACATCTGTACGCCTTTAATGAAGGATCACGGGCATGGCTTTGGAGTCAGCTGGGTGTGAAACTCAGTTCCTCTCCACCCCAGCTCCAGCCAGCCCTCCACCTCACTGGGCTCCAATCTGCGGGCGCACGGCAGATGCTCCGTAAAGTATACTGACAGAGAGGTTGGTGTGCTGCGGCTTCCATTCTCTCTGATGCCTAAGCCCTCGAGGGCTCCGTGTAAGGGTCCAGAACAAAGTCCAGGCACTAGGGCAGTCTCAGCAAAGCTTTTGTCCAGCGTCACCAGAGATGCCCACGAGGATGGCACTGGGACTGCTTTGGGCTGACTCTTTGAACATCTAGGTCCCTGGGCCACAGTTTGTTCATCTGAGGAGTGGAGCTAACACAGCCTCCGCCTCACGTGGTTGTTGTGAAGTCTCGATGTGTTAATCTGTATTAAATATTGATCACAGCTTGGGGTGCCCAGTAAGAGCTCAATAAATGTTATTTCTTTATATATAAATAAATAAATAAATAAATAAATAAGTCAGAAAGGCCCTTCTGTTATCTGGCTGAAGTCTCTCCTGCTTTAGGCCTCTTTCTTCTTCTTCTTCATCTTCTTTTTTTTTTTAATTTAAGGTTTTATTTATTTACTTCTTAGAGACAGTGAAAGGGGAGGAGAAGGTGGGGGAGAGAAAGATCAAGGAGCAAGAGATACATCAATCCGTTGCCTCTTGCACGCCCCCTACTGGGGAACCTGGCCCACAGCCCAGGCATGTGCCCTGACTGGGAATCAAACAGCAACTTTTTGGTTCACAGGCGGGCACTCAGTCCGCTGAGCCACACTAGCGAGGGTGACCTCTTTCTTCTGACTAGCATTGACCCCAGGGTCTGGAAAGGAGGTCCCAGGTTCTGCCAGCATCGGTACCACAGGACACAAAGGCCTCAGGGGACTAAAGTTTAGGGGTCAGGCTCTGAGGAAGCTTGGAATGCAGGGGCTGCTGTCTGCCTGCCATTCGATCTCCATTTGCTGGACCCAGAGCTGGGACTGTGGGAAATGGTTTTGGGGGTAGGCCCAGGGCAGCGCGGAAGAGACAGGACACAGCCTGCAGACAGACAGAACTCCTGCCTCGGCCTTGGAGTCAGGCGAGGGAGGGGGTGTGCAGGCCTTACCAGGATCTCCTGGGCTGTGCATCCCTCGCCTTCCAAGTCCAAGTCCTCGTTTCCCCTGCACCAAGCTCCAGGCAGCTCTGAAGAACATCTGGGTGGGGGGTGCGGGTTGTATGCAAATAAGCTCCCACGTTGCCCTTTGCCCCCACCCCTCAGGGCCCATACAGAGAAACATCTTCATAGTTGTGGTGGTGGCAGGTTCCAGGATTTCAAGGTCTCCTCAGGCCCCTGGCCCTTCTGATTGTGTCTGAGTCCCTGGGGCGGGGCTGGGGTGGGGGGTGTGGGGGGTCCTAGAGATTGGGAGCTCCCTCTGGGACCTCAATTAGCCATCTGAGAAGAGGGAGGAAGCCTAATTCTTTTTTAGTTTAAAAATTTAAAAAATGTTACATTTCTTTTAAAAATATTTTATTTATTTATTTTTAGACAGAGGGGAAGAGAGGGAGAAAAATATCAGTGTGTGGTTGCCTGTCCAGTGCCCTGTACTGGGGACCTGACCTGCAACCCAGGCATGTGCCCTGCCTGGGAATCGAACTGGCAACCCTTTGGTTGGCACCTGGCGCTCAATCCACTGAGCTACACCAGTCAGGGCTAATTTAAGTTTTTAAAGATTTATTTATTGATTTTTTTTAGAGAAAGAGAAATTGTCGTTCCACTTATTTATGCATTCATTGGTTGATTCTTGTACGCGCCCTGCGTTGTGGGCAGATGCTCCAACCACCTGACCTCCCAGCCAGGGTCTGAAAAGGCCCAATTTTAAGGCGCAGGGCTGAGTAGTTCGGGGCTGGGAGCCTGGGTACTGCTTTTTGCCCAAGCTCAGCCCCGGTTGTTTCTCCCCATCCCCACCCCCCGCCCCAGGAAATGGGGTGGGAGTCCAGGTAGGGAGGAAGCAGACCCTGCAGCTTCCTCTCCTCCCTGCAGGGCCATCTGCCACTGGTCTCTGCCAGACGGTCTGGCCCCCACCCCTGCTCCCCTAATTGGCTGCCTACGTGCGCGGAGAGCCTGCTCCGCGGGATCTTGCGCGAGGGGAGGGCAGGATGAGCCCAACCCCCTAGGGGATGGGGAGTCTCAGGGACTGACATCCCGCGGGGGCGGGGAGGGACTTCAGAGCAGGCAGAGGACCAAACCGGGTCAGAAGCAGGAAGAGGAGCACACATCTGGAGAAAGTAAAGGGGCATCCCACCTCTGGAAGGAGACAGTGCCTTTCGCATCTGGGGAGGGGACACCCAAAGGGAGGGGTACACCATGCCCGGGAAGGCATCTGGGAAGGCAGGCTCCCCATTAGTGATGAATGGGTGGGAGAGCCCCACACATGGGGGGAGGGAAGGAGTAATCTGCATTTGAGGAAAGAGATGCCCCCCACCCCACTTGAGGACAGGGGATAATTCCCCAGGCGTCCTCTACTCTGAGCTGCCAGAAGCCCCCTCCTCTCCTCCATGGCAGGGACCACCTGGGGCCGGAGTCCAAGCCGCATTCCCCACTCTCCTGGGCTTGGGAATCGGGGGTTCTTCCAACCACTTACCTCGCGGTTCTGCTGCAGGAAGAGTGAGACCCAGGTCCGCAGAGCCAGTAACTGCGAATAGGCTGCGGAGGGACTGGAGCAGTGGCGCCCGCCCCCGGACCCGCCCCCAGCCTTTCCCGAGGCCGCCCCTTCGTGGGAACGTCCTGCCTCAGAGGGACGTGGGAGCGCCCAGCTCCCCTCCCTGAGGGCTCCTGGCCACAGTCTGGAGAGAGGTGCTGCCGAGTGCTTGGCCGCCTACGGGGGTCCTGCCTCTGGAGACCCCCAGCTGACTACGCCCTAGTATACAACTGGCCGTGCGTCCTGGTTGGTCCAGCGTCCAGTTGGGTAGTTCCAAGAGGTGTATCTTCCTGCCTCCACAACTTTGCTCACTGCTGTTCCTTCCACCAGGAAAGCTCTGTAGGGACTTTGCAGATCCAAGTCTAATGCCCCCTTTCCAGCCCAGACCCCTTTGCCCCCTGACCCCTGGAGCCCACGGAATCTGGAATCTGGAAGCTGGCCGGTGGTGTGCTACCTCACGCCCACAGTCCCATACCCAGTGAAAGGGGGGAAAGCCTCCCTCTGGGGTTCATAGCTCCGTGGCCTTCAGCAAATGGCCTGCCTTCTCTGAGTTCCTGGTTTCTTTTCTACAATATATCTAAAAAAATGATTTAAAGATAGTTCCTCCCTCATATAGCTGTTGTAAAGATAAAGTCAGTAGAAAAGCAGCAAGCACACTTATTCAAGAATGATTTATTAAGACCTATTACAGCTGGCATTTATTATCTGTTGTTTACCAGGTCAAGATACGGAACCAAAGAAAACCAAATACAATCTGTGCCCTTATAGGGGTTACAATCCACTTCCACGAGGAGAAAAAGGCTTGTGCAGAGGCTCAGGGGCAGAAAAACACAGACGTGTTCGAAGAGTAGAGAAAGGGGATCTTGGCCAGCACGCAACGGGCACAGGGGAGCGCTGGAGTGGGGCTGGGCCAGCAAGCAGGTAATCGCAGGCCATGGCGCGGATCTTGGATTTTATGCTAAGGAAGGAAGGTCACTAAGGTAAGTGGCGGAGGGATGTGGTTAAATGGAACAGCTCGGGAGTTCGGTAAATGTGGGCGGGGGCTGGCAGAATGGCGGCGGTGCCGGGCTGGGTGAAAGCTGTGTGTCGCCTCTGCGACCTGGGGCCAGAGATTTCTAGGTCTCCCAGCTCTGGGCTCCTGAGGTGTGCCCAGTGCCTACCCATCCAGCAGGGTTTCCGTAGCCCAGTGAGGCCACAGGGGGGCCACTCCAGCCAGTGTCTGGAGCTAGGGGCTTAGTCCCCAGGGGGCAGATGAACCGAGAAGAGCAGGGATTCAGGAGAAAGTGACAGAGAAATGCTAGAGTGGGCAGAATGGACCACCTCCGATTGGACTTTAGCAACAACAGACATGAAGCCGCAGGAAGGCAGTGAAGGAGTCTCCTGAACCCCCAAAGACCCCCAACTCCCAGCATTGGTCATGGTTACTCTTGGGGGCAGCACCTCCCCCTTGACCAAGTGAGTTCCAATTTGAGAAACCCCCAAGAGACCACCTTACCTCTTGGATGCTGAGCAGAGAGCATCCTGAAGAGCAGCCCTGTGGGCGGAGGACAAAGGCAACCGGAGCCCAGAGTCTTGTCAGAATTTTCACAGGGCAGGCGGGTGCCTCCCAAGGGAAGGCATTTAGGGATGGAGATCCTCTGTTCTGTCCTGCCCTTCCCACCCTCGCCTCTGGGAACTCCAGGCCCGCCAGGTCGCAGACGTGGGGCGATGCTGTGATAAGGACCATCTGTTGGGGAAGCTGGCCCCGAGGGCTGAGGGAGATGGAGGCAGGCCTGGGTGGCTCAGCGCTGATGTAGGCAGAACGACAGCCTGCTGGGTGATGTGGGGCAGCGTCTGGAGGTTCTGAGCCTGGGAACATAAGGCAGGTCTCTCAGGGGTCCTGGGGCCGGGAGTGGGGAGTCTTCCTGGGCGCAGAGGGGCGGGGGCTCTGCTGTGGCTGAGATTGCGGTGAATGTGAACGCACGCTGACATTTCAGGGACAGCAGGTGAGAGGAGTCTGTCCCTTTCTTGCTGGCCCTGGAGGCTCCGACCCTCCAGCTCTCTCACTAGATCAGATCCAGGGAGTCCCCGAGATTCGTCCCGGACACATAAACTTCGGCTACGGCCTCAGCGTCCCGCGGGGCCCCGCGCAGCCGAGAGAGGACACTGAGAAAGGCTGGACCTCGGGCAAGCCCGGAGGCGAAGGTAGGAAGAGGTGAAGGACGAAGCGTCGCGGACCTGTACCCCAAGCCTCGAGAGCTGGGCGGACTCGGAGCCGGGGTCTGGGACCCGAGGGGCGGGGCCCGTAAACGCGGGGGCGGGGTCAGGGACGAGGGGTTGTCAATCAGGGGTGGAGGGGCGGGGAAAGGTAGGAGTGGGCGAGACTCAACCTCCGGCCGAAGGGTGGGGCCGGGGTGCGGCGGAGACTGAGGGCAACAAATGGGGCGGGGCCCGCAGGAGGGCGGGGGCCTGGTGCAAAGGGGCGGGGCCTGTTGTAAAGGGGCGGGGCCATGATCGAGGGCGTGGCTTCGGCCGCTCACCCCCGAGAGTCCGAGTGACCCGCGGGCCCCGCGGGGCGCACCGAGACTCCGGGTCAGCCGGGCCAGCGCGGCGACAGGCAGGGCCAGCACGAGGGCGGCCAGGCGGCGGCGCAGGCTCCGAGGGCGACGCGCCGAGATCCGCGGCTCCGTGGGCGAGTTGAGAAAGCGCTCCTGCAACTGTGGACAGGCGGGCCGGGTCGGAACCGACGCGGAACCAGGGCTGCCACGCGGACAACCGCAAACAGCGGGTTTCCCGGGCCTGGGAACAAGCCAGTGGCGTGGTCAGGAGCAGGTGGACGCCCTGGGCCGGACGTCGCTGTGCCTGGACTAGACCCGGGGGCCTGGGAGGCGGAAACCTCCTGCGGGCAGGTCAGATCTCTGGGCAACGCCTCGGCCCAGGACGGACGCCCTCGGAGGCGGGCACTGGGCTAAAGGAGGCGTCCAGCGGGTGGCATCCTGGGCGGCAATGAATGGCCACCGTTCCCTCACCCGGGGCACGAAATTCCTGAAGCTCCGGGTGTCCAGCGGGAAGGGGAGTTCCCTACAGAGCTGCGAGGGCTTTGTTTGGGGCCGAGCCCCCCCACTGTCACTCAGGGCCCCGTAGCCCCGCCCACGGGAGTCCCCTGTTCCAGGTCCTGCCACCTGCCTGGTCACTCGCACTGCGTCATCTACGCCCCAGGTCTCTTCTTTCCCCAGCCTCGAGCTTCTAGTCACCCCCTTCGACCCCTCGGACATCATCGCACCCGCTTCCCGCCCGCCCGTCCGTCCGGCGTCCAGCGGCGGCCACCTCCAGCCGTACGCCGTCCTGCCGCGAGCCCCGGCCCGGCCCGACCTCCGGCCTCGCCCCTACCCCGAAAAGTTCCCCCACGCCCCGCCGAGATCGCCCCTGCGGTGTCCGTCCCGCCTCCACAAGCCGCGCTAAAGCCGAGCCCGGCCCCCGCCCCTTCGGGCATCCGCACTGCGACCTCGCACAGCGAAGGTCTCTGCCCCGCGGCCCTGCCCGCGCCGCCTCCCAGGCGGGGCTCCAGGGCCCCAGACAGTGCCCCGGCCGCGCCCGCCTGGCCTGGCGCCTGAGCCCGGCGACCGCAGATCCGCCCCAGAGATCCGGCCCTGCCAGGTCCTCGCGGGCTCCAGCTTCGCGGGGACCGTCACGCAGGCCCCCCTCCGGCCATCATCCCGCCCCCCACGGCCGGCTCAGGCTCCGCCCTCACCACGGGTCCGCGAGTTGCAGGCTGGGGTCCCCGCGTAGAAGGCGACCGCCGAGGCCTAGGAGGCGAACGCGTCCCCCAGGCGGGGCAGGACCGAGCGGCCTGCGCGCTCTGGCCGCAGGAAGGGCACGGAGCGGCCCGGTGGGTATCCGAACTCGCCACGAGTGGAGAGAAGATCTGTGGGATGACGGTTTCCTGGGAACTCGCTGCAATCCCGGTGCCTGGGTCCTCATCGCCACCCTTTCACCTGGGCAGATGTATGCAAAAGACATGCAGACGACCCTTAGCAAATACCAGGGACGCAGAAGTTGGGTGCCTGGGAGGCCAGCGTATAGGATTCTATTCCCAGACCTATTTATCCTCTTCTGGTTTCAATCCGTTCCCTCTACCCCTGGTTCCCCCATGGCCTCAGTTTCTCTGTCTCTATAAAGCTAATCCCATGCGTCGCTGCGACCGTAAGCATCAGCACCAGCACCAGGGAATAGTCCAACCCGACAAAAGGCTGAAGTGCTCGCATCCTGGGGAGTGCAGAGGGTCAGATCTAGAGTAGGTACTGGTCCTTTTGGGTAACACTCTGGGGCTCCTCACTAGCCCAGAATGGTCTGCAGCGTCTGCTCCAGGCCTTCCAGGACTCCGTGCCACAAGGTCACACCCCGCGGATGCACGGGGAAGGTGTGAGGGGCCCTGACCGAGCCCCTGGGCAGGGGGCCCTTCTCCAGGACACAAGTGGCTCACAGCCCCCTTGCTGTGGGCTCTATCCCCTTGATGTGGCCCAGGAACTTTATCAATAACTGTGACTTCACCAGTATCTCCAATTCCACAGGCTCTTCTTCCAATGGGATCTTGGCACTCGGTCATCAAGGGGTGCAATCTATCACCCCACTGCTGGAAACCTGATGTAGCTTTGCTGGGAGGAAAATAAATCTGGACTGATTAGAGCATGTTGGAAGTGGTGCTATGTGACCTACAAAGCTAGATCATAAAAATGCCATATACTCATTCTTGGAGCCCAGTCGCCACGCTGTGACCAGCCCACGTGGAGAGGTCATATGCAGGCGTGTCTGGCGGCCAGCCTGTACCCAGCCTGGACTTCCAGGAAACGTGCATCTCTAGACGATCCCAGCCACTAGTCATCAAGTCCTCCTCAGCCATCCAGTGTTCCCAGCTGAGGACCCAGACATCACCGAGCAGAGACAGGTCACCCCCGCCATGACCCTTCTGAATCCTCAGCATCAGACTGTCGTTCTATACATTAAGATTCCAGGTGGTTTGTTATGCAGCTATATAACTGGAACAGCAATCAGATGTCATTTTAAAATATATTTTATTGATTATGCCATTACATTTGTTCTATTTCCCCCCTTCATTCCCCTCCACCCTGCACACCCCCTCCCCCACTATTCCCCCCTTTAGTTCATGACCACGTGTCTCAAGTTCTTTAGATTCTATATTTCCCATACTATTCTTGCCCCCCCATCTATTTTCTACCTACCATCTATGCTTCTTATTTTCTGTACCTTCTCCCCTCTTCTCCTCCTCCCACTCCCCTGTTGCTAACCCTTCATGTGATCTTCAATTCTATAGTTTGCTCCTGATCTAGCTGTCCTCTTACTTTGCTTTTGTTTTAGGTGTGGTTCTTAATAACTGTGAGTTTGCTGTCCTTTCACTGTTCATCTTTTTTATCTTCTTTTTCTTAGATAAGTCCCTTTAACATTTCATATAATAATGGCTTGGTGATGATGAACTCCTTGAACTTGATCTTATCTGAGAAGCACTTTATTTGTCCTTCCATTCTAAATGAAAGCTTTGCTGGATTGAGCAATCTTGGTTGTAGGTCTTTGGATTTCATGACTTGGAATACTTCTTTTCAGCCCCTTCTTGCCTGTAAGGTCTCTTTTGAGAAATCCACTGACAGTCTGATGGGAACTCCTTTGTAGGTGACTGTCCCTTATCTCTTGCTGCTTCTAGGATTCTCTCCATTTTAATCTTGGCTAATGTAATTATGATGTGCCCTGGTGTGTTCCTTCTTGGGTCCGACTTTTTTTGGACTCTCTGAGCTTCCTGGACTTCCTGGAAGTCTATTTCCTTTGCCAGATTGAGGAAGTTCTCCTTTATTATTTGTTCAAATAAGGTTTCCACTCGTGGCTGTTCCTCTTCCCCTTCTGGTACCCCTATAATTCGGATGTTGGAGCGTTTAAAGATGTCCTGTAGGTTCCTTAGCCTCTCCTCATTTTTTTGAATTCTTGTTTCTTTATATTTTTCTGTTTGGTCATTTTTTTCTTCCTCCTGGTTCGCTCCGCTCCCTTGATTTGAGTCCCAGTTTCCTTCCCACCACTATTGCTTTTCTGTGCATTTCCCTTCATTTTAATTAGTTCAGCCTTCATATGTTCCTCTAATTTGTGGCTAAAATCAACCAGTTCTGTGAGCATCCTGATCACCAGTGTTTTGAACTGTGCCTCTGATAGGTTGGCAATTTCTTGTTCACTTAGATTTATGGGTTCTGGGGCCCTGAGTTCTTCTTGAGCCATTTTTGGTCTGTTTGTGCCCGTTAAGTATGAGGAGCAGAGCCTTAGTTGTTCACCAGGGTGGGGCCACCCAGGTCGCTGGTTTGTGATGCTGTATGTGGGGGCGGGTCAGAGAGGGACAATAGGGATACACTCTGCTCCTTCCCGCAGCTAGGGCCTGTGTGGTCTGTCTCACTGCTCACTGCTCGCTCCTTCACCGGTTTATCTGCACACGAATGTGTGACCTCAGCCAGCCTGCTGCCTTGCGCCCTCACTGGGTCCGCCCGTTGCTACCCCACACCTGGGATTCGCCCTTGGCTGCCTGAGTTGGGGGATCTTTTTTGCCCGGCCAGCTCCACTGCTGGCTCCGCCCCTCTTACCGGTCTGGCTAAGTGGTTTGTTGTTGTCGGACTTCCGTATTGTTCAATTTTCTGTGGTTTAGCTGCATTTTTTGTTGCTAAAACTTTGTTGTTTTTAGACTTGGTTGTGTGAGAAGGCACAGTGTTTCCACCTACACCTCTATCTTGGCGGAAGTCGTTTAAATGTTATTTTTTAAGGATTTTATTTATTTATTGTTTTAGAGAGAGGGAAAGGGAGGGAGAAAGAGAAGGAGAGAAACATCAATTAGTTGCCCCTAGCGTGCCTGCAACCCAGGCATATACCCTGCCCTGGAATTGAACCGGCAACCTTTTGGTTTGCAGATGATGTCCAACCCACTGAGCCACACCAGTCAGGGCTCAAATGTTATTTTGATTTCAATACACCCGACTCCTCATTTGACTCAGTTGTTTCAGAACTTGGGGAAGAAAGAGGGTGTTGGGCGTTGACACCCAAACCTCACTACTGTCCTTCAAAGTTTAGCTCAAA